GCTTCTGTGTGTGAGGGTGCCCTTCTAGGTGAAAGCCTGACTTTATTTGCTTTTTCCTTCTCTGAAAAAAAAATGTTTTTCAGTGATTTATAGGACTATCACTATTTTGCTCTGTGGGAAACACAGAACAAAACTCTGGTCGTCATTCAGTCATTCGCTAATGTCTTCAGGTGGGAGGAGACCAGGCATCACTCTGTCCTTCCCATTCCCCCATGATCACCATCATGTCTCCAGTCTAATTTCAAAGAATTCAACCACTTTTTTCCCCTCAAAATCCCTGGTCTTTTCAAACTTTATTATATTCATATTTTTATGCCTTTCTGGTTCCAAAAGTTGTTTTGAGGATATGTGTGTGTGTGTATATGTGTGTATATACATATACACATTATTTTAAAATTCTATTAAATTAGTCTGAGGTGAATTGTATTTTTTCATGTAAATCTATAAATCTGAAATACTTTTTGTTTTTGTTGTTGTTATATGGGTAATAATTGCAGTTTTAAGAACTGGTTTTTAGATCTTTAGTGATCTTTTTAACTAAGATGCCTGTAAGTCTTAGGAGAAAGACCACTTACATTTCAAGATTGCATATTGCCTTGCTCTTGTTTCTACTTATTGAGAAATGAGTGTGTCAGCTGGGGGTATGACAAGTGATATGGTGGTAAGGGCTTGGTGATTTATTTCTTTTTTCTTCTTCTTCTTTTTTTTTTTTTTGCTATTATGTGCTTGCTGGGAGGAGAGAGACAGAGACAGAGAAACAGACAGACAGAAAGTAAGAAATTACCTTTGAGAGGGGATAACCATACTGCAATCCTTTTCCCCCCATTATCCTCTCAGAATTTTAGGCATGCATGCACACACATCTAGTGTGTTTTCCAAGCTGCCCTGTTCAGGTCCATGAAGTAAGCCAAGTGGGATCAAGCTGCCTTAACCACCATGCCAATGGCTAGCCCAAGACAGGGGTTTAAACCAGTCTTTCCCCCTTTCTGGCTATGTGCTTTTTTGGGCGAGTCACTTCAAATCTAGGTGCTTCAGTTTCCTTCTCTTTAAAATCTCACAGGTTGGTTTGGAGGTATGTGAAATCACTGTGAACCTTGACATGTTCTATTAGTCATGCACTAGTTGGGGGAAAGGGTGCTTCAGGGCAGCAATAGTTTGGGTAAACTAGATGTCATTTCTGATAGAAAAGAAATTGAAGCAAGTAGAGAGTTCCCTCTATTCCTGCTTCCTCCTGTCCAGCAGAGATGGTATTGCCTCAGGCCTACTCTACAGTACAAGTATTTATTACACAAATATTTAGTTAATGCTACAGGTACAAAATGTGATACAAATATTAACATCACTCTTCAAGAAATTGATTATTGGGGCTAATCAGTGAGCCTGAAGAGCCTTTATATAAAAAGTCAGACTTTAGTCAACCTTGGTAATAGACATGCCACATTAGTGCTGACCACATTTTTCAAGTGTAAGTTTAATCTTTGTCCTTCTGCCTCTCATACCTTTTGGCTGGGGGCTAATAAGGAAAATGTGCTGGGAGTCTGCAAAGCAGTCATAGATATGCCTGGTTATACATATTCAGTTGTGTATGTAAAAAAAAAAAATCAGTATTATTCAAAATTGACTCCCTTTTATTTCTTAAAGCTGCAGTATTCAGGCTTAAACTGACTGGGAATTAAACAGATGAAAGATGGTTGCTACACATGAATTGTGATTAAAATTTACTGGCTAGACAATCAATAAAATCTTTTTTAATTTTACTATTATTATTTTCTTACTTTTAGAATAAACTCCATGCATTGGTTCAACCACAGACTCTCCTTATGGGTTTTATTATTAAAAATCAAGTTCTGGTATCATAAGACTTTTCAAGGACAACTTATATAGCTCTAATCTCCTTTTACTTCTCATATTTAAAAGTTATTAAATGAATGTTTTATTTATGTTTCAACAAATGCAAGCCAACATAACCTGTTAAAATATAATACTAGATGAAAAGAATATAATACTAGAGGGTACCTTTTTCTACTCACTTGTTTATTTGTCTACCTCAACAGGGTGGTATGTTATCTGGGGACAACTTGGTCACCATCAATTCTTTTTTTATTATCACCCTGCCTGCCTGCTTGAATTTCACAGCTGGCTGACTCAGACCACTACTCATCTTCCTTGAAATCTAGCCTTTGCGACAAGCCCAGTGTGGCTATTTTTATAAGCCGTATCAACTAGTTGTTTAAACTGAGGGCCCATCCGGTCATGGAAGTCGTCTGGCTACTTCACAGACACAGGGAGATGAGAGCAGAGGAGAAAAGGGGAGAAGAGTATCCTAAGCTGAACTCTAGAGAAGTCACTGAATTATGACTTTTGAGAACTTAAAAGTCATTGATTGCTTGGCCACGTTTGGAGGAAAACAATAGGAAAGGACTCAGATCTCTGAAGGCATCTGCTTTGTAGGGGAAAAAAAGGAAGTACAATAGTTTTTAGTCCTTACCAATCCTTTTCATCTCTTGTTCTTCTGTTCGCTCTAACACACTGTTGTTGAGAGCTAATGGAGAGTTAGGGACAAAGCTGAGGGTATTAAGAACATAAATACTCTATGGAATACTATTCAGCCACACACACAAAAAATAACAAGACACTGGCATTTGATAGAAAGTGATTGTATATGGAAAATTTATTGCTGAGTGAAGCAAGCCAGGCTATGAAAGAAAGATATTGTATGTATCCACTTAATATGTACTGACTATCTGCACTATATGTTAGAGGATGAAAGATTGGAGGACATAAAAGCATTGAAAATAGTTACAAACACTGGAGACAGTGTGGAAGGAGGGTAAGAGAGGGGAAGAGTATAAGGAAGGAAATTAGGGGGAGAAAAAGAGAGGCAAGGCATTTGTGGGACACGCAGCAATGATTTATTACCTATAGATGATAACATGTATAATATTCTCAACTGGACTTGTCTGAGGTGCAGTTCATGTTGAGTAAATTCTCTTTGCAAGCCAAATGATGTATAGTAATCAAATGTATAAGATAATAATAAAAATAATAAAAAATTAAAATTTAAGAAGAACATAAATGCAACTGTGGATACTAGAGACAGTGTAGTGGGAGGGTGGGAATGGCAGAGGATGAGAGGGAGGCAGTCATGGGGAAAAAGAAAGAAGCAAAACATTTAAGGAACACAAAAATGGAAAATCATCTGTTGATAGTAATAATAGGATATAGCAATATCTTTGACTGGACTAATATACAGTCTATTCATGTTGGAAAAAATCATTTCAAATGCTGTAATGATATACAGTGATTACATGTAAAATAAAAATAAAGTAAAAAATATTTTAAAAAATGAATATAAGGGCTGCACTTCAGGACACTCACCACTTGTAGAGGAATGGAATACTGAAAAATATGATTAGCCACAATAGGCAGGTTACCACTTGTACATAGACCTAACATGCTCCTAACTGTCCCACCTGTTCCATGAACCTTTTTTCTATAAAATACTTGAAGATCCTTTGTATCTCCCATATTGTTGGACACAAGGCAGATGATCAGAAGTGCTGCTTGAGTGCCATAGGTTTAGTAATAGTCCACTTCTTTTATCTGATTATTAAATGAATTTGCACAGATTTAGTTGGTCTTTGAGATACTAGACCTTAAAATGTTACAAAGTAATTTTACTTGATTAAGTAGATTTTATATATTTAGAGTAGTTTTCCCCAGGGTCAGCAGATGGCGTAGTGGTTACATCACTGGACTCACATGCTGACTGCAGTTCAAGTCCCAGACCCAGTTGGCTTGAAACTCACTCTGGGAGCACCTGTGTGCATGCCCAAGATCCTGAAAGGAGAATGGAGAAAAGGGGATTGTGGCATAGCCGTTCCCCACTGGAAGATGATTTTTCACTTCTCCTTCCACTGTCTCTGTCTCTCTCTGTCCCCTAAGGCATAACCTCTAAAAAAAATAGTAATTTCCAACTACCATCCCCAAATTAATTATTTTAGTGGTCAGAGCCACCTATTAGATAACAAAGTCTTCTCAATAGCTTAAAGGACAACAGTTAATGATTCATAGGTTTGGAGTAGTTCTGAAATTTTGCAATCATAGAGTGTGATCCACATTGGAACAAAGTTGCAGGTGACATATACACTTAGCTCTTATTTTAAAATATACTTTTACCTTAAATAAACAGATTGCTCTTTTAGGTCTTTTGTACGATTATTATCATTAGTATTATTTTTTAATTTTGTCTGAGGACGTGGGTATGGATGGGAGAGTTGTGGGGGGAGGGGAAGAGAGAAAACATGCATTATGAAGAATGGTCATGCCAAAATCCCTTTTCCTCCATCTTTCCTTTCTTTCTCGATTTCAGGTAGGCACACACATTCAGTGTATTTTTTAAGCCCCAAGGTCCGTGATTGGAATTGCACAGTTGGCTATGTGGATCTCACCACTTTAACCACCATGCTGCAGACTGGTCCAGTCCTTTGAGTTATTAAGGCAACATTATCACAAATTACCAAGTGGTATGAAGTTTATGTTGACTTCACATTTGAAAACTTGACACTAATTTGAGTAGTTAACGTTTCAAAACATCTTCTGGACATATACAAAAAGTTAAATTGAGATGATAAATTCTAATGAAATAAAGACAATTCATAACGGTCTCTGTCATAATTTGTTCTTGAGAAAAAGGGCACTACACAGTTGAATTTCTTTGCTCTAAGGATGAATTTGGTGTGGCAGCTATGGGATTGGATTAGTCAAGAAAGCCCAAAGGTTAGCTGAAAAAGCTTGAGGTTGATGAGTTATTTGAAGTAAAGCACTTTATGAAGGAATGAAGGTGTGCTTATTAACCAGGTGCACACAATTACCAGGAAAAGGTGTTGTGATTATTTATTTCTATATGTCACCAGAATGATTAATTTTCCATTAAATTGACTTTTTGCTTTTCCTTTCTCTCCTTCTTACATACAGTCTCATCTCTTCTTCTGCTATAGGATGGGATCACCTTGCATCCACGGAGTTGGGCACCACAAGGCTATACTGGAAGAGGAATGACTGCTAAATCAAGTGTTTGAAGGACTCCTGAGGAACAAACATGGTAGTGATATCTTCCCTTCCTGAGGATGGCCAAGAGCGGTGTGGGAGCAGGTACCCGGAGAGGATTACCTACTTGGCCAGACAGGTCTTGAGAGACATTTACCAAGCAAATTCACCACTTTTCAGGAGATGAGTTCAGGCTTGTAGGCTCTTTACTTAGTTCATTGGACTACTAACACAAATGACCTTAAATGGGGTAGCTTATAAACAACGAACATTTCTTTCTTTTTTGAGAGAGATTTTTACTATAGAATATGTGTGCTAGCCAAAGAGACAGAGGGAGACAGGGACAGAAAGCAAGAAATCACCCTCCAGGAGGATGGCCATACCATAATCCCTTCTCCTCCATTCTTCTCTTGAGATTTTTGGGCACACAGGCAGCCATGCATGCCTGAAATGAGTTTCTTTTTTTCTTCTTTTTTCTTTTTTTGGAGAGGTTTTGCAATAGGATGCATGCGCTCGCCAGAAAGACAGAGACAGAAAGCGAGAAATCACCCCCCAGAAGGGATGGCCACGCTGCAATCCCGTCTCCTCCATTCTCCTCTTGGGATCTTGGGCATGCACGCACACGCGTCCGGTGTGAGTTTAAGCCACCGGGTCCGGAACTTGAACCACGGTTGACTACATGGGAGTCCAGTGACATAACCATTATATCATCTGCTGGTCCCAACAACAAGCATTTATTTCTAACACTTCTGGAACCTGTGAAGTTCAAGATCAAGAGGCCAACAAATTCAGTGTCTGATGAGAGTCTGTTTCCAGCTTCACAGATAGCACCTTTTTACTGCATTCTCTCTTAATGGAAGGGGCTAGCGTGATCTCAAAGGTCTCTTTATTTTATTTATTTATTTATTTATTTATTTATTTTTGAGAGATTTTTGCTAGTTATTTATTTATTTTTGAGAGATTTTTGCTAGGGCAGATGCACTAGCTAGAGAGACAGAAAGTGTGAACTCACCCCCACCCCCATGGGGGATGGCCATACCGCAATCCCTTCTCCATTCTCCTCTAGGGATCTTGGACACACACACACACACACACACGTGCCTGGCATGAGCTTTAAGCTGCTGGGTCCGGTACTCGAATTGCAGTCAACTACATGGGAGTCCAATGACATAACCATTATGCCATTTCCTGGCCCCTCGAGGGGTTCTTTTTTAAGGCACTAATCACATTTGTGAGGATAGAATCCTTATGATCTAGTCATCTCCCAAAGAAAGACCCTACCGTTCACTAGCGATTAGATTGGGATTAGATTTCAACACGTGAATTTTGGCAGGGACACAAATATTCAGGCCATAGAGCTCTGAAACTCATAAATGACCCAGGCTTCTTTGGATTTAGAGCTGTTACTTTAGGCTGACAAAACTAAAAAGATTTTTGAGGTAGATAAACAGACTGTAAGTCTATTAAACATTAAAGAGAAGTGTAACTATTAAGGAGACTTAACATTTATATGCACACATGGTTGATTATGTCCCTTCAGTCCCACAACTGGTGACTTAAAAAACACACTGGTAGGGAGCAGCAGGTGACATGGATGTTTAGATGGCTAGGTTCCATATAATTGACTGTGTGATTCGAGTCGCAGACCTGGCGACTTGAAAATTCTCCTGGGTGTGTGCACGCATGCCCCAAATCCCAAGAGCAGAATGGAGAGGGGACAGCAGAGTAGCCATTTGCCCTGGGGAGTGATTTCTTACTTTCTCTCCTTCTTTCCTCTCTTTCTCTCCCTCTCACTGGTGAGTGCATGTGTCTTATGGCAAAACTTAAAAAAAGAAAAGAAAAGGAAAGGCAAACGCACTAGGCATTTGTACATGCATGTCAAATATCCTGAAAGGAGGGAGACATGAAAAAGAAAGGATTGCAGCGTGACCTGCTTTTTCACTTTCTCGCTCTCTGTCTGACTAGTGAATGTGTGCTCTGGCAAAAACTAAAATAGTAATAATAACTTAAAACATTTTATTTTAAAGAGAACTTTAGAGAACATCAGCTATCTTTTGCCTATCTATCTTATAAATTCTCCAACTGTGAGAACTTGTCTTTCTCTCAGCAATTACCTACTTCCTTTTGGCAGGGATATTTACAAAAAAGGTGAGATTTTGTGTTTGTTTTGGTTGTTGTTTTTTTAAAAACTGTATCTTAGGGAGTTTTCATCATTTATCCTTCTCTTGACCTTAGCAAAGCATCCTATAAAGTCTTCTAAAAATATAAAATATATTACACTTGAATATAAATAGCTAATATTTTAAAGTATTGTCCCAACCTAGTATATTTTAAAGTCTTTATCAGGATAAAAGACTCAACCAAAAAGGACAAATAGAAGAAATAAAAATAGAAGAAAAAGAACGAGACATTGGCATAGGCTTGGAAGCCAGAGGGGACGAATGGTCCAGTCCTGGCACTATAATCTCTAGCCATAGACAGTAGGTCACATGTCAGCACTCTGAGCCTCTGTTACTCTATTTTAGAGGAGGGAGCTAACTGAAGCATTGAGGTACTTTTAAGTTTGTAAATACTAATAAATATTCCAAGAATAAGGAAGGTTGAAGGGCTTTGGGAGCTTAGAGAATAGGTGTAATGGGAAAAAGGAAGAGAGGAGAAGGCTGTGAAAATGAGGGTTTATCAGGGGATGAAACATTTGAATTTATTTTAAAATTTTTTTGAATTAAAAAATGTTTATTTCTTCCTAGAGAGAGAGAGAAAGAGAGAGAGAGAGGCATATCCAAAAGGGTCTTCATGCCATAATCCATCCACGGTCTTAGGCAGCCCAGATGATGTGCACCCAGTGTGCTCAGGGAGTTCTCTGGATACAAACTGAGGACCTTTCCTATGTGGGTCCACTGCATCATGACCTGGCTCCAAGATAATAGAATTTAAGATTTAGCACTGAAATTGTTATTGGAGGTAAAGCCAAGGGAGTAAGAGACTTCAGTGAGGCAGAAATAAATTTAAAAAAAAATGAAGTTGGGTTTGGAGACATGGCTAGGATTAATGGGTCACCCACATAAATACTGAAATTCCTCCACATGATGAGAGGCATTGCAATGAAGAGGAAGGCTGTGAGCTAGAGGCCAATATCTTTTGTAAACATAGTGTATCACCAAAAGATCACCAGAGATTTATGGTCAGGTAGAGCCATACAGCTGCCAGACAGAATTTGGTTCAAATCACAGCTCTACCGCTGGTGGCTTCTTGTGCTTGGGCACATTGTTTACCATATAAAATTGCAGTTTATTCAACTATAAAATGAGGGATAATAATGTCTACCCCACAGTGCTGTCTTCTGTGTAGCAGATGTTAATAATCACCCACCCAAGGTCCACATGCACCTTTTCCCTGTTAACAGAACAAAATCCCCCATGTAGCTAAATTCTCAGGGCAGACTGGCCGTGGCTTTAGATCCAGTGTTAGATCTTGTTTTATCTTAGCCGATTGTAGTGATTTTTTTCCTTTTTTTCCAATGATTGCCTTAGAAAAAAAGTAGTGAACAATGATATGTGAAATAAGCCTGCTAAGATGACTTTTGGGACATCTTTATTACCTCTTTATATTGGTTAGAGAAGATTTGATGCCAGGAGCTTCTGCAGCCATTTTGCTCTCATGAAAGAAACTAGCAGATAGGGGCCGGCAAGTGGCATGGTGGTTAAGGGCGCTGGACTCCCACATGGCCGACCTGGCCACAAGTCTTGGACCTGGTGGCTTGCTTTCTCACTTCCTCTCTCTCTCTCTGTATCTCTCTCTGATCAAACTGGAAAATAACAATGTTAATAATAATAAATAAAGTTAAATAAAATAATTCTTAAAAAAAAAGAAAGAAACTAGCAGATAAACTAAGGTTGTTGACACAAAAAGCTGAAAGGAACTCCCAGTTATTTACCCAAAGCAATATTTGAAAAAAATAATAGTACAAGGTATGAAAACCATTTGGAGAGGTTTTTGCTATAGGGCGCGTACGCTCGCCAGAAAGACAGAGAGAGATAGAGAGACAGAAAGCAAGAAATCACCCTCCAGGGGGGATGGACACACTGCAATCCCTTCTTCTCCATTCTCCTCTCAGAATCCCGGGCACGCATACACACGTGCCCGGCGTGAGTTTTAAGTCGCCGGGACTCAAACCGCAGTCGACTGCATGGGAGTCCAGCAACATAGCCATTATGCTAACTGCTGGTCCCACCATTTGGGAATTTAAGAATTTAGACTGAAATATGATCTAAAGACCATTCCCTTTAAGTCCCATATAAATTTCATAATTTACTTCAAAATGAGAGTAGAAAGGGAAACTTTGAAATGAGAAGCTAATAGATCTGCCTTTTAAAATCAGCAGTAACTGGAACTTTATGAATAAATTACTAGATGCTCTATGCTTCTTTCCCTGCAGTTGTCATATGCCTTAAGAGGTAAATTAATGTTGGTTCAGGAACTATAAAGTGAGTCATAGGAAAAGAATCTGGTTCAATGATCTTGAAATGTATTGAATGTCAAAAATGATAAGTTACACTCCTTTTTTTTTTCCTAGTATTTTTTTTTTTTTGTAAGGGATGACAATCCATTATCTAAATACATTTAAGAGGCAAAGCTGGCTAGTAATGTAGAGTGATTCCGACAATATAAATTTGCTCACAAAACTTATAGCTATTGACATATGGGAGAGTAATCTAGAAAGTGAACACTATAACCCTGTTCTCACGTTCCTGCCTTACCCTCTTCTCAAAGCAGTGAGGTTATTTGACTCATTTGCTGAAAGCCTGATAGGCCTCTTAAATAATTTGCCAGCTTGGAGTCTATACTTCAAACTTAAACTGAACCAAACAGCCCACCTACACACACTGTGAATGAGAACGTTGTTCCCATGTATTTGGTATAGGATGCACAGGATGCATGACATCCAAAATATTTAATAACCATTATGACATGGAAATTGACAATCAAAATGAATACCAGATGTGGGCTGAAGCAGAGTCCTGGAAGACCCATAGTGTTCCAGCTATTAACCCTTTA